GTATTTACTTGTATGTTGTTCTGTGGCTGTGGAGTATCTACATGCATAATGGAGGTAAAAGATTATATAAATCTAGCATAACTGTTGGATCTGATTGAATTGTTTTTGCCTTTTATGTAAAGTGAAGGTTTTGAAATTATTACTTTTTAGATATTTGACTGTGTTATCTAACTACAAGACAGTTGCATGAAATGCTACTGTCAAAATATGCTGCATCAATTATTTTCTTTCTCTGTTCCAGGAATGGTGGTTTTTTAGTTGGGAAATTATAGTTCTTATTGTGGTAGAACCCCAATATGGGAAATGATATTCTTTTTATCCATAAATGTCAGCTTAATTAGTTTGCCCCCTTTTTTCACCATTTGTCTATTTTATCTTAACGTCAGCTTCTTGTGCCCAGGCAAGCAATAAGAATTTGTGTTGTTTTATTTGAAAATTTAAATGCCCTTTTATGATATGTTGTGCAGTATCTTGATGAAAATAAGAAGTTGATCCTGGCAATATTGGACAATCAAAATCTTGGAAAACTTGCTGAATGCGCCCAGTGAGTTACTTCTAAAATTCTAATCTTTGTCTGTGCTTCTAATTGGTGCTGTGCTGACTTTTAGCCTGATTTTTTGTGCTTGTAATTGGTACATGTACTATCTCATTATCACCTGCATGTTTTATATCTGTACAATGCATAAACTCCTGCATCAGCTGATAGGAATTGCAGCGTAAACCTTCTACTTGGTTTTGTTGTATTTGAAATCATAGACATCATATAATGTTTGTTTGAAATCAATATGATACGGCATTGAATTCTAAGTATTGATATCAGAAGTCTGTTACTTGCAATGATAACTTCATGCCTTTTAATCTTAACTGCGTTACTTGCAATGCCTAGTTTGTGCTTATTGACATATTAATATTGACAATCAAATTAAGTGATATTTATTGAAAGCAGAGTTTGAATTAAAAAGCAATGTTTATAACGTATTTGGCTTTATTTAATTTTTATTGTTATACCTGATGTATCCAACAAATTGGACGGTATTGTAACCTAATTTCTATTTTTTGTCATAACAAGCAGTTATGTTCCTGTATGCTTGTGTGCATCTGGCTAAGTTTCGTTTGATGTATAAATGTGATATTTTTATGTGTTAGGTACCAAGCTCAACTTCAAAAGAATTTGATGTACTTGGCTGCAATTGCTGATGCGCAGCCACAAACACCAGCCATGCCTCCTCAGGTGGACATTCAGCATATTGAGTTTTTACTTAATCCGTTCACTGCCTTTTCTGATCTGGTTTGCTTGTATAAAGCACTTACAGATGGCCCCACGTCCTGCAATGCAACCGGGATACTACATGCAACATCCTCAGGCTGCGGCAATGGCACAAGCTCAGCAACAAGGTATTTTCCCACCAAAGATGCCGTTGCAGTTTGGTAATCCACATCAAATGCAGGACCCGCAGCAGCAGCACCTACACCAGCAAGCCATCCAAGCGCAGATGGCAATGAGACCTCCTGGAGGGATCAATAATGGCATGCATCCGATACATGGCGAGGCTGCTCTTGGTGGTAGTAGCAGTGGGCCAACTTCATCTTCTGGTGCAAATGATGTTCGTGGAGGTAGCAAGCAAGATGCTGCTGAGGCCGGAACAGCTGGTGGAGATGGCCAGGGTAGCTCAGCAGCTGGGCATAATGGTGATGGGCCAGAAGAGGCAAAATGAGATGACATCGTGTAAGCTTCCTTAAGATACATGTGACTGTTGATAGTAGATTTCTCTTAAAAGGCACCAATAGTGTGATCTGATGACCTTGAATAGGTCAAGCAAAGAACAAAAACTTTCTCTTGATAAACAGGTTAGGCAAGTGAACTTGTGTTGTTAGTATAGTGGCAAGAGGGAGCGGTGGAAGGAAGTGGCTTGTATAATCATGCCCTGTTACATTTGCGATTACCTAAATTGCATGCTGATTTTCCAGACTCTTTCACTGTTGTGTTATATAAATAAGAAATATTAGCCTGTAGAGCAATTTGAAGCAAAAAAAAAAAAAAAACTTATGACTCAGTGCTCCAGGACGCACCTGTTCTGGTTCTCAATGGTTTGGTGTGGGTTTGATCATCGAGCGATTCTATGCATCATTTTAGCATTGGTTATGCTTTTTCCCGACTAAAATAAAGTTCTTGCAAGGCGTGTAACTCATGGGGTGGATTTTATTGGTGCTTTTAAACCGAGCGAGGGACAGAGAGGAAGGGATCGTGGATAATTCGGTGGGTGGCTGAGGATGTTGGATCTGGGAGCATGACATCAAGAGAAGATAAGGGACAAAGAGTGGTCCTTGGCTTTCAAAAGAAGAGCAAAGAAAAAAGTGGTAACCGCCCCCCCAAAAAAAAGCGTTTAAACTAAAAATTTGTTCGGAAAAAAAGGGCAAAACTTATATACTTGTTTTTATATATTTGATATACTTCCATTCATTCAAATTAAAATATATGTATTTTAATATAATGATAATTTTAATAATAGAAATTTATTATAGAATGAATAATATATAATAAATATACATGTTTTAATTTAATTGAAAATAAATATTTTAAGTATATAAAATTAAGTATATGATGTTTTTCTTTTTGTGAAATCTTTCAAAAAGTAATATTGTGGTATAAAACATGACGCGCAATTTAGTGGAAATCAAATATCTTAAACAACAATACTATTTACAGATCAAAAACATCCCATGGATTATAAGGATATATAGGTATAGATTCTCATTAATACAGCTCCTTAGTAAAAAAAGGGAGAATGGAAAATGCAGTTCAGTGTTTGGGCTGAGATATTGACTTGGAAAGATAAAGTAGATCCAAAACCCACGATCACTGCCTGCAGATCTCGAAGTTCATTTCTGAAACTAAAACGTCAAATGCAGTATGAAGAAGCTTCAGATTAAAGAGGGTGGAGGTGGACTATTCAACTTCCAAGTGTCAATTGTCTTGCCCAGGGTATGAAATTATATCAAAGGAGAGTGGAAAACCCCAAGAGTAGTTCAATCTCATTTAATAACACACTTCTATTTGGTAAGATTATGAAATTAAAAGTTAATTTTTTTCCTTTTTTTTCTTTTTCTTTTTTCTTTTTTGCATTTGAGCAAAGAATTTTTTTTATTAAAAAAATAAAACAGTTCACATATTTCATAGCAAAATAATTATATTTTAAGTCCTGCCTGACGATTCACAAATCGTGAAGAAAAATAAATTTCACATTTCTGAAGACTGAAGAATAATGAAAACTTTCTATTAACAATTAAACATGCCAAAAGCAAGCAACTCATCTGTATCTCTCTTAGGGCTGTGCAAAAGTTTCATGATCTCATTCGGTCCGGTTTGATCCATGAAAATTTAATCCTGTCTAGTCCTGTAAAATGCTAGTCCTATAGGACCAAAAATATCAAAAAGACAGACTGCTTTTTCGGGTAAGACCAGACTAGAGACCAAGCATCTGGACTAAGTGGTCCGGTTTGGTCCTATATAATTATTTTAATATAATTAAAATTAATTTATAAATTATTAATTAATAAGCCTTAGAAAAAAAGTTTTAATCCTGTCTTGCACTTTGCACTCTGATAAAAAAAAAAACCTCAACACTGTTACTTAATACCACTTAACGTCTCAGCCACTCACTTAACTTTGCTCTCATTCTCAATTTCTTCAGTGCGCCAAAGCCCTAGCCCCTGCCTTGCACTTTGCACTCTGATCTTGATCTGTTCAAACTTTGAAGGAACATGTCTGTGGGCTGATTTTTATTACTTTTGTTCTTGCTGATTTTTTTCCTCTGGTCTATTTTCGGTCTTTCTTCTGATTTTTTATTGAAGTTATGTATTTAAATTATTTGGAATTTGGACTGCAACTAAAATATTATTTTCTTGGTGTTAGAAATTATTATGAATCTATTATGATTATCAGTGTTTTTATTATCTTAATTGAGTTTGTTAAGTTGAAATAGATTATTGGCCATCATAAAGGGAAAAAAAAAGGCTAAGTGAGTATTGGACTAACAGGATCAGTCTTTCAGTCCTATGGACCAAATTTAGTCTTGTTAATCTCCGAGTTTTCAGAGGACTAGACCGGACTACGGGTTACCTAACCCAATCCTTTTCATAAAAAGGACCAGACTCCGGGTTAGACTAAAATCCAGTACCTTCCAATCTTTTGTGAAGCCCTAATCTCTTCTAACTTTATACTCATTCCATTTTGTCTTTTATGTAAATTATTGGACATTATTTTAATTAAGGGGCTTTCTTCGTTAATTGAATAAACAAGCGACGTTCCCGTTTGGCATGATCTGAACTCTTGAATCAATAGGAGTGTGACTTGGCTTAAAAAAATCAAATGCCGTATTAACACTCTACTTCGATAGTTCCATGGCCATTTGACATCACCGGTACAGAATTATCTTTAAGAATGTCTTTCTTTCACTTTCATAAGGAATTAACAAGAATATATCTCATATTTTACTCGCTCCTTTCCTTGCAGAAATGTACAAGCTTTCAACAACTCCTCAAGTCAGCCCAGCCCCTTCCTTCATTAATATCAATATATTAGATTGCGTCCCATCTTGATTAGTAGTATATGCATCCAATGAGATGGATATCACTGTCAGTATTCATTAGAATATAGTCATTAATAATTCGAAAATCAATTTGACTGCAATAAGCCAAACACCCCCGGAGCTTCGTTTTTAAAGTATATAAACTTTAGACAGCTTTTTTAACCAAAAAAGAAAAAAAGGAAAGAAAATCGCATGAACATATTAGTATAAAAAGAAGTTATACAAATCAAACGTAAATAGAAGAGGAAAATTACAGAAAAAAAACCAACATGATCAAAAACAGAAGTAACCAAACAGATGAAAAACATCATGGTTAACCTTTTTAGAGGGCTTCTAAAACAAGGCAGATATGGTTAATCAATTCAATATTCATCAAAATTCAATGTTATATTTCACATTGCGTAATCCAAACCTCACTGATCAAATCCACAGAAAAAGATCCCAATTCGTTGACCAATAGTAATCAACGCTCATCAATGCCTCATCACTCGCGTTTATAGTAGAAGGGAATCAAAGTCACCGTCACTTCCATCTTCACGCTTACCTTTCTTCTGTGTCTCTGTTTTGCTCTGTATTTTATCTTCCCTCTCCTCGTTTTCATGGTCACCAGTTGTGCTACTCGCTACTCTGTACAGATAGGAACCAACACCAAAACCTCGAATAAACCGACAGTCCAAACTTGTCGGAAATTCCTGTTGTGTCCCCAATCTACTTCCATATGTCTATACAGCAAACCCCATCCTGAACGTTATTCCTCAATAAACGAACAGAGACACAAAGAGCAAACAATTTCGACATGAAAACAGAGCATCACTACCAGAAGAAGCTAGCGACAGTTGTCAAATTAGCAAGACCCTCCGCGTATTTCATCCTTCTCTTGCTAACTTACGCCTTGGGTTACCTGTCCGCTCCTTCCTCTTCAACCTCCTCACCATCACCAACGACAGCTCTTACCTCTCCTTCTTCAACCCACTATACACCTGTTCTTCATATAAACAACTCTACCCGTACCCATCTGGACTTTTTCCGGGTCACCGCTCGATGCGCCGACCCGATCCCTACCGACCTCGTCCGCTCGACGCTCCTACGATACCTTTTCAACGGAACATCGCCTTTTACAAATTTCCCGCCAGAGCACGCGGCAAAGCGACTCCGTCGAAAGCGGGTCAAGGGGTGGGGGTCCAAAGGCGCGGTCTTCGAGAACCTCATTCGCCGGGTGAAGCCCCGAACCATAATCGAAGTGGGCACATTCCTGGGCGCGTCGGCGCTTCACATGGCCGAGCTGACCCGGAGACTCGGGCTCCGAAGCCAGATCCTATGCGTGGACGATTTCCGCGGGTGGGCCGGGTTCAGGGACCGGTTCAAGGACATCGAGATGATAAACGGCGACGTGATGCTGTACTACCAGTTCATGCAGAACGTGGTGAGCTTCAACGCGACGGAGTCGATCGTGCCGGTGCCGTTCTCGAGCGGGTCGGCCCTGATGAAGATGTGCGAGATGGGGGTGTACGGGGATTTGGTGGAGATCGATGCGGGTCACGACTTCTATTCGGCGTGGGCCGATGTAAACCGGGGATTCCGGATCCTGCGACCCGGAGGGGTTATGTTCGGGCACGATTATTTCACAGCGGCGGACGATAGAGGGGTGAGAAGAGCCGTTGACTTGTTCGCAGCTCTGAACGGTAAAAAGGTTTATATCGATGGCCAACATTGGGTCATTGAATCTTCCTAGTTCTTTCTTTTGCATTTTTCCCACTCTTTACGCAACCACGAAAGAATCAAACTTCACCTGTGAAAATTTGTATACTTTTGCTTTTTTTTGGCCTTCTTATCTGTGATCGTGAAAATGAAAATATATAGAAGTTATTAGGAATTGGCTTTCTTCGTCTAAAGTAAATGAGGGATTACTATAAATTTTAAATCGTGAAATTAAATTTGGTGATTTAAATTTGATAATTTTTTAAAATACATGTTTAATTTAAATGGTTTAAATTTATAATGAAGAGAAAAAATAGTGAAAAAAAACCCAACCAAATTGTTATAGAAGCACGGATGAGGATGAAACAGTAAATAGGAAGGAGGTTTGATAACGTGGGAATTAATCAGTTGGTTGAGTGATTGAAAACGTGAGTATGGGTTCACTTGGCATTTGCATGAGAAATTAGCTAACGGTTTCAAGTTAGCTTTCGGTCATCTTAATCTCTGCCCCGCACAAGCAGTTGATGACTGTTAAAAAGGAGAAAATATATGCTTCCCCTTCCCCCATTCCGTATTTAAAAATGATAATAATAATACATGAAACATTAATCCAAACAAGGAAACGATATAACTAGTAAATGCACGTTGTCCATATTTAGTGATTTAGTGGTGGAGCCATGACCTTGAGTTAAGATATAAGATAATTTCATTTAGAAATTTATATTTTTTAAAAATAATGATTTAATAATTAAAGAAAATAATTACAGTAAGATTAAAATTATAATAAGATAAGTAGATTGATCATAATTTTTTATAGCTTTTTATGTAAATAAACTCTTTATTTTTGAGCTCGATCATTAAATTATTATATATTTAATAGGCTCACGAGGACAAATATTTTTTTATTCATTCTACCAAGTGCCAAATGTCAAGAGTATAGGTGTAAAATTGTAAAATTTACACACCTTGCAGGTAATTTTCTCTTCATGGTTGATCAAGAGCATAAAAATTACCTTCACTATCAGAAGCTTAATTCACAAGATTATGGATATAGTTGGCCTTTTGATCCATACAACTCAAGGGTTTAAATCCCGATATGGCCAGGCAATTGTGTGTATGTTCAATGTTGTGTTTGAAGGGTGTTGGTGCCCATCTACCCAAGTAAGCAAGTTGATAGCCTCGGCATAGTCAGTAAACACATTCATTCCTTGAAGTCTCAAAGTACAACAAAAGTCAAACCGATGCATTATGCCCAATAAATTCGGCAATAGCGAGTGGGAATTGAACGACGTTAGAACTAAAACTAGCAATTTAAATCAATGTTTGCTTAATAAAATAGGATGAATTAAAAAAAATAAAATAAAAATGAATTAAATTATTTTTCTCTCACATTAAGCATGATAAAACTCATTAATATATATTAAAAATATAAAAATTATTACACTCTCAAAAATTTTTATAAATTATAATTCTCAATTTTATGAACTAAATCATTCCTTCTCTTTATAAATATATTTACATATTCTTTTTAATCATTTTATTTTTATTTTTATTTTTTCAATCAATTCCACTCCATTTTAGTAGCAAGGCTTAGTTAGCATGGCTACCTACTCACACCACTTCAAACTCATCCTCATGGGACCTATCAAATATCTAAGCCCACTTCATCTTCAATAGAACGAAGACTAGTGATAGTTTGTGTTTCAAGAAGGGTTAGAGAGTTTGGCAGAGGAGTTGAGAATATTCAAGTCAGCCTTTACCCTCTGTAGAGTTGCAACACCTGAACAAATCCCTTCCCCCTTGTCGTCAGAGAACAAAAGTTTGCATCGACCACGCCATATATCGCAGCAAACATGACTAAAAAGGGTATCTCGTGCTATTTGTTTAGTAAATTCTTGCCTTACCTCCATTCATGATTATGAAAGATATTTTTAATCTAATTACATTTCTGATAAGTTAGTTAATTATTTTTAATAATAATATCACATTATTTTTATTTGAAAATAAGTGGAGTTTTCATTATTTTTAAATTTTATTATATGTATATTGATGGAGGATTGATGAAATAAAAAATGTTCAAGATTAAGTTTTTTGAAAATAAAATTTTAAAAATGTATATTTCAATATGTTGAAGTACTTCTTTGAATTGCAATATAAGTCATTATTAATTAATAGGGCTTTTACGCACATAGCCTATATTATAAGACTAAGTAAAAAAAATACCCTATCCTTTTTTAAATTTTAAAAATGACATTTTTAATATTTAGTTTATAATTAATTTGCAAAACTGCCTTTTTAATGTCTGTTTTTGGCAAATACCAAAAGATTTAAAACACGAAATCTCTAAAACAAGAGAGATAAATGTGAGAAAGAAGACAGAATTGGACGTAAGAGAGACGAACACGAGAGAGCAGAGTAATGTGAGTGAGCCATGGTCACAACCATGAGAGACAAATACAAGGTGAGATACATTGACAAAACGGAGCATGTCGGCGAGGAAATGAATTTATAGATTCATGATTTTTTATTTTATAAGTTTAAATATTTAACTCTCTGTGATAAACTAAGAGTTCAGAAATTTTTATAGATTATGTTCGATCCATTTTGAAAAAATGATTATGTGTTTTTCGTGTTATTCATTCACGACACTACATCATTGATATATTGCTTTAAATCACTGATATACTGTCACAAATCAATATAACTAGATAATCAGACATAAACTTTTTTATCATTTATATATATATATATATATATATATTTAAATGATGTAGTGTCATAGATTAATAATATGAAAAATACATAATAATTTGCCCAAAATGAATGAAACATAGTCAACAAAAAATTTAATATTATCGAGGGATGTGAAGATAATAAAAATTTAATGATAGATAATAGATTTCAGCCTAGTTTTTTATGTCCAGAAATGAAGATTTCTCTTCAAAGTCTAATGTCCTCTTCATAGTGTTCCTAGAAAAAATAGAGAGGGAGAGAGAAGAAAAGCTCTGTGATAAAAAAAAAGGCACCAACAATTTTATATTCAGAAAAAAAAGAAATGATTAAGAGAAAACAATAAAAATATTCAGTCAATTAAGGATTAGTTACAATAGATATATTGTGTTTTAATAATAAATTTAATTTGAGAATAAAAAAATAAAATATATCTAATTGATTTTATGAATAGTTCATATTTTAAAATATTCAAAAATCTCATCTATAATTTACGAGAGCTGTATTTTTTGAGGCCATTGAGCTAATTTTCTCTTAATAATTTATATTTTTTTAAAAGTTAGTTAAAATATTGAATTTTTTGTAATTTTTCATATTTTTTTCAACTGTACCCTTACATGTATTAAATACTCCTTTCATCTCAACTTATAAGAGATTTTTTGATAAAATTTTACATAACAATAAAGCTCATTAAATATACTTTACAACTTTACTTTTTTAACAAGAAAATTTAAACTTTTTCAAATGTCCTTCATTTAATATTTCATTGATAAAAAAATATTAAAAAAAGAGAATATATAAGAAGGGTAATATTAAAAAACTATCATTCATAAAATTTTATTTTTATTAAAGTATCTTATATTTTAGAATGTTGAATCTTTCTTAAAAGTATCTTATAATTTGGGACGGAAGGATTATCACAATTAACATATTTAAAATACTCTTTTTAATTACTCAATAAAATAAGAATATAATTTAAACAGAATGTATGACGCCTAAACAAATCTCTATTCTGGATTAAGTAAAATTTTTAAAAAATGACTTATATTACAACAGAGAGTATACCTGAATATGTCGTAAGAATCCATCATGATGTGAGAAGTCACGTGAGACCGAAAAGGAATAAGAATCTCATTAAAGTTTTGAAAACACATTTTTTTTTTTTAAGAGGGCAAGCAAATGTGGGCGTGTTTGTGGAGTGTTTTGTTTTTTGAGTTCCTGGGCCAGTGTAAAAGCCTATGTAGAGTTGGGCTAACCGAATCTTTTTCAGCCTTTTTTTTAAATAACAAGGAAAGCTTAAAAAGGCACCAATCTTTTCAGCTCTCTCCAATAGCTTTCGTCTGACTGGACCCTTCTCCTAAGGCCCAAAAAAACCTTCTCAGACGTGACGCAAGACATATATCTCAGAAACCAAAAAAAAAAAAACGGCTTGTTTAGTTTTGTTCTCATTTTTTATTTTTAAAAATAATTTTATAAATTAATCTTTAAATTTTTTTAAAATAAAATGAAAATATACTTAATTATGTTAATTTAAAAATAATTTTAAAATAAAAAGGAATAATGAGAGTCACTAGTGGTTAATAATGATAATCTATGATAGTGGTTGATTATAGTGAAAATGAAAACATTTTTTAAAAATATTTAAATTCAAAACACTTACCTAAAATATTTTATTTTTATTTTTAAAAACATGAAACAATTTTTAAGAACAGAAATTCATTGAGCTTGTTTGGTTTCTATTTCTATTTTTTGTTTTTAAAAACTATTTTGTAATGTAGTTTTTAGAATTGTTTTCCAAAATAATATAAAATGAAAATATGTTTAGTTATATTAATTTAAAAAGTTTACAATTAAAAAATAAATTGATAGCAATAATAGCAGGCGATTAATAATGATAATTTATGATAGAATTTGGTGAAGCTAACTGTAATTTATAATGATAAAATGTTTATGTATTTTAAAAACAAGAAAAATAAAATAAAAATAATTTAAAGTTGTTTCTATTTTTTTAAAAAAATTGAAAATAATTTTTGGAGCAACTAAATTCAAAACATTTATTTAAACAACTTTTGATTTTGTAAAAAATTAAAATAGAAAACAAAAAGACCCTCATTGTCTCTTTTGTTGAGACTCTCACTCTCCTTCTTCTTGTTTCCCCTCCACCTCACTTGGCTGAGAGTCTCTTGCTCTGTTGTGCTTTGCGGTTGCAATTTTTGTCAAGGTCTCTTTCCCTCTTCGAGGCGAGATGATATCTATATATGTGCGCGCGCGCTCTATTGATAAAAATATATGATTATATACATTACAAAGCTGATTTTATGATTATAAACTTTGATCATAAAAATATATGATTATAAACTTTCAAATATTAATCCAATAATCATGAAAAATACAGTTTTCATAATTTAAATATTTTAAAATATGATTTATTTACAAAATCAATTA